CCCCCGGCATTCCTGCCAGATAATGATCCACTCAGCACAGACAATGGCGGCAATGACAAATGTTTCGGCTTCTCGTGTTTATTTCTTTGTATCGGTGACACAAAAAAGCCAAAAACTGACCCATTCCACCCAAATCTCCAACAATTGGACGCCATGATCGGCACCTTCTCCGCACCGCACTCCAAGTGTTTGTAGAGACGCATGGAGGATGTCGCGGTCCCATCTCCAGAGATCTTCCCGTGTCCTCTGTGCGCACATTGTCCGGAAGGTTCCAGCAGACACGGAGGACAGTCCGAGGAATGTCGGTCCCGTGTATCAGATGTCACATACATGACGCTCGGGGGTTCAGGAGCCGTGTTGTATGACGGATCTCACGCGGCTCCGGACATATTATTATCATTGGACTCGGTTCCATCCTCCGACACACACCAGATCCGGGCCGATCCAAGATGGCGGCCAGAGAGGACTCGCTCAGAATCCCCCATTCGCATAAATGGCGGGAAGATCCATAAACTCTGCAGGTGAATGTTCTGCAACTAATCTTCAGCGTCATCCTCATCCCGTCCCATAGTATCCAAAGCCGTGCGTCATCCTCATCCCTTCCTATAGTATCCATAGCTGTGTGTCATCCTCATCCCGTCCTATAGTATCCATAGCCGTGCGTCATCCTCATCCCGTCCCATAGTATCCAAAGCCGTGCGTCATCCTCATCCCTTCCTATAGTATCCATAGCTGTGCGTCATCCTCATCCCGTCCTATAGTATCCAAAGCCGTGCGTCATCCTCATCCCGTCCCATAGTATCCAAAGCCGTGCGTCATCCTCATCCCTTCCTATAGTATCCATAGCTGTGCGTCATCCTCATCCCGTCCTATAGTATCCAAAGCCGTGCGTCATCCTCATCCCGTCCCATAGTATCCAAAGCCGTGCGTCATCCTCATCCCTTCCTATAGTATCCATAGCTGTGCGTCATCCTCATCCCGTCCTATAGTATCCAAAGCCGTGCGTCATCCTCATCCCTTCCTATAGTATCCATAGCTGTGCGTCATCCTCATCCCGTCCTATAGTATCCATAGCTGTGCGTCATCCTCATCCCGTCCTATAGTATCCATAGCTGTGCGTCATCCTCATCCCGTCCTATAGTATCCATAGCTGTGCGTCATCCTCATCCCATAGTATCCATAGCTGTGCGTCATCCTCATCCCGTCCTATAGTATCCATAGCTGTGCGTCATCCTCATCCCGTCCTATAGTATCCATAGCTGTGCGTCATCCTCATCCCGTCCTATAGTATCCATAGCTGTGCGTCATCCTCATCCCGTCCTATAGTATCCATAGCTGTGCGTCATCCTCATCCCGTCCTATAGTATCCATAGCTGTGCGTCATCCTCATCCCATCCTATAGTATCCATAGCTGTGCGTCATCCTCATCCCTTCCTATAGTATCCATAGCTGTGCGTCATCCTCATCCCTTCCTATAGTATCCATAGCTGTGCGTCATCCTCATCCCGTCCTATAGTATCCATAGCTGTGCGTCATCCTCATCCCTTCCTATAGTATCCATAGCTGTGCGTCATCCTCATCCCTTCCTATAGTATCCATAGCTGTGCGTCATCCTCATCCCTTCCTATAGTATCCATAGCTGTGCGTCATCCTCATCCCGTCCCATAGTATCCAAAGCTGTGCGTCATCCTCATCCCGTCCTATAGTATCCATAGCTGTGCGTCATCCTCATCCCATAGTATCCATAGCTGTGCGTCATCCTCATCCCTTCCTATAGTATCCATAGCTGTGCGTCATCCTCATCCCTTCCTATAGTATCCATAGCTGTGCGTCATCCTCATCCCTTCCCATAGTATCCAAAGCTGTGCGTCATCCTCATCCCGTCCCATAGTATCCAAAGCTGTGCGTCATCCTCATCCCTTCCTATAGTATCCATAGCTGTGCGTCATCCTCATCCCGTCCTATAGTATCCATAGCTGTGCGTCATCCTCATCCCGTCCTATAGTATCCATAGCTGTGTCATCCTCATCCCGTCCTATAGTATCCATAGCTGTGCGTCATCCTCATCCCGTCCTATAGTATCCATAGCTGTGCGTCATCCTCATCCCGTCCTATAGTATCCATAGCTGTGCGTCATCCTCATCCCGTCCTATAGTATCCATAGCTGTGTCATCCTCATCCCGTCCTATAGTATCCATAGCTGTGCGTCATCCTCATCCCGTCCTATAGTATCCATAGCTGTGCGTCATCCTCATCCCGTCCTATAGTATCCATAGCTGTGCGTCATCCTCATCCAGTCCTATAGTATCCATAGCTGTGCGTCATCCTCATCACAATACAAGGGATGAGGATGACAAGCTCACCGTCCCCGGCTTCACACAGTGGTGCATCCATATTGGGAACCCCTGTAGAATGGGGGAGGGGCTCAGACATCGCTCCGGTATAGGAATCCTCATGTACATTATGTTACAATGTATCGTGATGTGATCCTATCCCAGTGACGTCATCACATCCGCTCACACTGTCCCTCCATAGACATCACCGGGATGAGGGAGGAGCGCTGTTTATTTGTTTACGCCCCCCAGTTCCTTTCCTGACAGGTTAACAGGAAACCCCATGATCACAGTTAGTCCAACGTGCTCTTTGTGGAGGGGCGGGGCTCAATAAAAGAAGTGCTGTGATTGGCTCGTATGCTCAAAGCTCCCTCCCCAATGTGTACCAGTGGTAGGGGCGGGGTCTCAGCACGATATTCCTCTGTCCCCGCCCTTTCATGGTGTCACACTTCCTCTGGGACACGTGACTTCCTTTGCACCGCCATCTTGTCTGTGTGTCTGATGAGCTCCGCCCTCCTCCCCCGCCTAGCCATGACCGGAGCTACGGACAGTCGGGTGAGTCGGCCAATCGTGCGTGTGGCTGAGTTGCATCTCTGTGTCACCTCCGATCCCCCGGTACTCTGTATGTGTGCTGCTCTGGGTACAGGAATCGGTGTGTGACCACCTGTCCGCCCCAACCGACAACCATCATCACCCCCCCCCC